AATAGATAAATAACTGCTATGATATTTGAAGTGTGGCACTGTGGCAAGTGGGGAATCATGAATAGTGAATGCTGGAGGTTTTTGCAAGGGATCCAATGAATGACCATTGGCAGAGGACTTCTGTTTTCTTGATATTCATATCTAAGCCCATCCTGCTGTATGCTCTAACAGCAGCTTTAAGAGTGGACTGTGAATCTTCTGGAGTATGTGAAACCAAGGCACAATCATCCGCATACTGCAATTCCAGCACACGAACCAACTGAAGCTTAGTGACTGCCTGCAACCTCCTGATGTTAAAGAGGTTACCGTCCAGTCTATAAGCCACTGCAACCCCACTTTCTTCTTCCATCTCTTTATACAGCAGCTTTGTAACACACAGTAAGAAGATGTTAAACAAGACAGGTGCAAGAACACAACCCTGTCTTACTCCAGTACCTACTGCAAAGTGTGCCGATTCTCATCCACCTAATGTTACTTTGGCTGTCATCCCATCATGAAACTGTCGCAAGATTGTGGTAAACTTTACAGAGCATCCAGAATGCAAGAGCACTTTCCATAAGAGGTCACGATGTACAGTATCAAAAGCCTTGGAAAGATCCACAAAAGCAATGAACAAGTTCTTATGTTGCTCACGACATTTCTCCTGCAACTGGCGTGAGGTAAATATCATGTCCACTGTACTTCGACCCGCTCTGAATCCACTTTGATTCTGGGATTTTCAGAAATGGCATTGACAAGTCGATGGAGCATGACCTTTGCCAGAACTTTGCCTGCAGCTGAAAGAAGTGAGATTCTTCTTTCTCACTTTCACACTTTCACTTTCTCACTTCAAAGTCTCAAACACACACACACACACACACACACACACACACACACACACACACACACACACACACACACACACACACACACACACACACACACACACACACACACATCCAAGGCGATACTCGTACATTTTAAACATTCAAAGGTTTTTGTGCACATAACAGTTGTATATCTACGAATTGTGTTTTGCATTTGTGAAATGTATTTTATGAATATATCATTTTATTTTGCGCATGTGAATTGCTTTTTGTGAATATACATTTTTTTCACGCACGTGAATTTTTTTTGTGTGTTCGTGAATTAGGTTTCATGCATGTGAAATTGTCTACGTAATTGTGAATGATGTTTTTTGCGTGAATTATAATCGAGACTATTCTGCTTCCATAGGTAATAAACAAAAAAACACAAGAGAAGTTTCGGCGGCCCAGGGAAAAACTCAGGAACTTTCTTGGATAAAATGGCGCCGCTCAGCTCGCACGCATGGACTGAATGATCTGAATAACAAATAATATATCATAAAATCTTGAACGTAGGCTATCGTCAGTCTCTTCAAACACACACACACACACAACTGATGATTACATTTTAAAAGAATTTTTTTATTAATTTCAAAAGACACCTGATGATACATTTGTATTAAATTATAAAATATAATAAAAAACACACTTTATGGAAAAATAAACAAATGTTGGGCCCTAAATTAAAAGGTAGCTTACTCTGTGGAGTTTAATTGTGAACAAACAAATTATGATGATATTTTTGGCCATATCGCCCAGCTCTATTTTTGAATCATGAATCATTTGTGTCCTAATACAAAACAAAAGGATTGAATGTATAATAAATACAAACCAGGATGTCAGTCATTTACAATATCCAGCATCTTAGATAATATTGCAGAAACAGGGAATATAGCAGATGCACTGTTGAAATGTCTATTTAAGAGGTTTTAAACAGGATTTAGAGATATATGTGGTATAATATCCTGCTCCAGTGCAGTAGGTGTCGGTGTGACACTGTTCAGCTGTTCCAAACCCTCCTGTAAAACACACGAAGAAGAGCAAAACGAAAGGAACACCTGTTGACACCTAAACCTGTCGCTCACTGGATTTGATCTGATCTATAATCCAGAAAACATTTCTACAGAATAGTTTTCCTTTTATTTTTTCTCTTTTTAATATAGGCTAATTATTTCTCATTTGATATCATTGCCTCACACTCCATTCCAGTAGGTGGCGGAATTTGCACCATAAACTGGTTTGCCAACCGCCATAAAACATCAAAAGAAGAAGAAGAAGAGGAAAACGAAAGTAACAGCACATGTTGATATCTAAACCTGTCGCTCATTGGATTTGATCTGATCCATGATCCAGAAAACATGTCTACAGATGTCAATTTAGCACAATGCCTACCAAATCTAATAACACTCGCGGCCATTTATGTGTTTAATCCACAATCCATCGAGACCAGCGAGAGATTCTGAGAACGACGCGCGCGGACTGACAACAAGCGTTACTGAGTTTACAATACTGATAAATTCTCTTCTTAGTGGACAAGACTGCAAGTAATTTTATTACACTCTCCATTACAGTCATTTGTAATTATTAGGAACTTTATATTGTATATTAAGCGTGATTTAAATGTGAACTTACAGAAGGCTGTTCCTCTGCTACTCCGAACAGAAGAAGAATCTGCCAGAAATTACAATCTTTTGAAGTAAAAACACAAAAAGTTTTATTGAGAAGGGATTTATTGAAAACATATAATATGTTTCTGAAAGTTTTCTTCCATTTCCTCTTCCGTGTTAGGCTGTTGTTTTTGTGATGTGAAATCGAAAGTATTTTTGAAGCAGACATTTACAGTAGACAGACAGATGAAGCCTATAACGTCAATCAGCAACAATCTGAAATTATATATATATATATGTATATATATATATATATAATATATATATATAATATATATATATATATATTAGTTCATATATAGCAATTATGATTAGTAGTTATACAGTATGACTATTATAATTCTGGTTACTTTTACTTAATCAGTTATTTTAGGATCATTTGAAAGTAATGATATCAACAATCATTGTGAACTTGAAGTAATGATTAAATGACAGACGATTCAACAATTAATAAAGATTGGCTAAATATGATTGTAAAATGATATTATACTGTAATAGAGAATATATCAAATTGGGTTCAGTTTTCCAGCACAGTGTAAATTTCTGTTCCCCAATGAATTCATATTTAGAGTCAGTTAAACTCATTAAACAATCAGAAATGATTAAGACCATTCGGTTATTTTACATGGCAATATATTTGTTTGTAACTCACTTTATTTGATAGATTGTTTTTGCTGTTGCTGTTGTTGATGATAACTCTTTATTCTTCATGATTGTCTTCAATAAGATGTTGTTGATGTGTGTAAATGTTGTGATTTGCAGGTGATGCTGAAGGATTGAGTGTTTTCAGAAAGCAGTGCTGATCAGTTTTCAGGGTCAGTTTAGCTGCAGTATGTCAGAGGAAAGAGGAAAGGACTCTCTCTCTCAGATGAGTCTCTCAGAGAAACACAGGTGAGACTGCGTCTGTTTCACACTCTCAGTTTAAACTCCACTGGACTTTGTGTTTCCCTGTCAATAACACAACTTTAAGCATTGTTTTATATTTGCAAATGCTTTGCACAACTTAAATTTTAACTTCTTAAATTAACACTGACATTGTCTATAAAGCCCTGTTTGCTCTATAGAAAATATCACAGTTAATAATTTGTTAATAACCTTCTAGACGCTGAATTAATCCAAATAAATGACTTTAGATTTTAGATCATAAAATTATTGATAGACATTAGAAAACGACTATACACTTAATTTAATTCAGTTTAATTTGCACAGACATTTCTGCTCTCCATTTCTGTCAGTAAACAAACACTTGACATGTTCTCTTAAATTGAATTTTTTTTGAACATGCTTAATCTCACTAAATGTATATTAAAGAAATTGTTAAACTAATGTGAGCCAGTAAATAAAATGATGGTTAACTATAAAACTGTAAATTGTGTGAGTGTGTGTGTTTCTGTGGAGGATTAGATAAAGACACAGATGTGTTTCAGACACAGTTGATCCTCCTTTACTAAAGTGTTCTCTCTCTCTCTGTTCTTTGTGTCATCAGTGTGAGATCAGGCTCACATGTGTCCAGCTCTGTGTCTCTGAAGAGTGATCGGTCTAAAGATAATCCACCAGACTTCAGTGAGAAAACACCATCATCTAATAAAAGGTATTTTGTGTGTTTACATTACATTATAGGGTTGTATTATTTGTCCACAGTGGTGTGTGTGTGATTGAACTTGACTGTGTAAGGGGATTTATGAAACTCACTCCAGTAACACAGTTACACAGGCAGACACAAGGAGGCATAAATTCACTATGGGAAATAGATCATGCAACTAAACATGTCCATCCATCCAACCGTAGTTATAAATGAACAAATGCACAGCTATACTGCATTTCATTACTATTTGCAACATTAAACCTTTTCAAATGTTCTTTGCGTCATCAGTGTAAGATCAGGCTCACATGTGTCCAGCTCTGTGTCTCTGAAGAGTGATCGGTCTAAAGAAGATCCACCAGAGTTCAGTGAGAAAACACCATCATCTAATAAAAGGTATTTTGTGTTACTAATTTTTTGTCACATGTTTACTGTGTTTAAAAGTTTTATCAGTGAATACCAATCATGAAACATGTCTAGATCACAGCTAATGCTTATTTCTCTTTCTGTAAAATATCAGTTAGTATTTTATTTTACTAATGTGATTACAGGCTTCAATATGAGACATTAGACTCAGACCTTCAGACTCACAGGAACCACGATAATTTCAAAGACAATCTTCTTGGGATCTTCCAGGTAGGAAAACACATTTTTATGAATGTTTAATATTTCTAATAAACAAATATGTTATTGAACAAAGAAATTTAATTACATTTTTCTTCATCTCCTTTTTTTCCTTTTAAACTCATTTTAGCACAACTTGGTTAGCATGTTATTCTTTTAACTGGATTTTTTTTTATGTACATTTATTATAATTATTTAATGAATAGTGTTGACCAAATGTAGATGTAGAATTTGGCTTAAATTGTGTTATTCTGTATTTTCTCTTACTTCTGTTTGTAGGATCTTGAGAGCAAAATAATCACATTTCTGAAGAATGAGCTGGAGAAGTTAAAGAAAATATTACAACATGAGAACACACAACACTTTGTGAAGGACTTTAATGAGAACAGATCCAGTATCAAATCAGCAGCTCTTGATCTCACACTACATTACCTGAGAGAGATGAAGCAAGATGAAGCTGCTGATGCTCTAGAAGGTGAGAGACTCGTGATCATCTGTCTGATTGTCTCTTATAAATGTAGGAGAGAAAATGAAGACTAAAACTATCTATTTTCTGTTCCTGTGTTTAGGTGAGCTGTTACTCATTCATCAGCTGAAATGTGGCCTAAAGAAGAAGTATCAATGTGTGTTTGAAGGAATGGCGAAGCAAGGTGACTCCACACTCCTGAATAACATCTACACAGATCTCTATATCACTCAGGGTGGCAGTGAACAGGTCAATACTGAACATGAGGTGAAACAGATTGAAGTTGCTTCCAGACGTCATGAAGCACAAGAGATACAGGTTGAATGCACACATTTGTTTGAAGCGCCTGAACAAGACGAGGAGATCCGGACTGTACTGACAAAAGGAGTCGCTGGCATCGGGAAATCAGTCTCTGTGCAAAAGTTTGTTCTGGACTGGGCTGAAGGAAAAGAAAATCAAGATATCAGCTTCATATTTCCTCTTCCATTCAGAGAGATGAACTTAAAGGAGAAAGAAAAACTAAGTTTGATGGACCTTATAACTCAATTTTTCCCAGAGACAAAAGGACTGAACCTTACAAGAAGGAATCAGTTCAAAGTGCTGTTCATCCTTGATGGACTGGACGAATGCCGCCTTCCTCTGAAGTTTGATTGTAATGAGACGTGGTGTGATGTATCGTCACCAGCCTCTCTGGATGTTCTCCTAACGAACCTCATGAAGGGAAATCTGCTTCCTTCTGCTCTCGTCTGGATCACCAGCAGACCAGCAGCTGCCAGTAAGATTCCTCCTGACTGTATCGACCGGCTGACAGAGATACGAGGATTCAGCGACGCACAAAAGCAAGAGTACTTCAAAAAAAGATTCAAGGATGATATTCAAGCCAACACAATCATAGATCATGTTAAACAATCAAAGAGTCTCTTTATCATGTGCCACATCCCAGTCTTCTGCTGGATTTCAGCCACTGTTCTCCAGAACATTCTGGAGGAGAAGAGAAATAATGATGTGAAAAACACTCAGGCTGATGAGATCTCTAAAACACTGCAGGAATCAAACACTGAAGACACTCCCAAGACTCTGACACAAATGTACACACACTTTCTCCGCTTTCAGATCCAGCAGAGCCGCCGAAAATATGATGGAGAATACACACCAGATGTTTCCTGGAATAAAGACACCATCCTTTCACTGGGGAAACTGGCATTTCATCAGCTGGAAAGAAACAACCTGATCTTCTATGACACAGACCTGGAAGCCTGTGGTCTTGACGTCTATAAGGCATCAGTGTACTCAGGCATGTGTACCCAGATCTTTAAGGAGGAAACAGGGATCGTTCTTGGTACCATGTACTGCTTTGTTCACTTGAGCATTCAAGAGTTTATTGCAGCCCTTTATGCACATCTGTTTCTAGACATCAACAAGACAAGTGTGTTTGATCATGAGTCTACAGAACAGGAAAACAGAAATGAAACCATGATTGATTTTCTCAAGACTGCAGTGGACAAGGCGCTGGAGAGTGACAATGGACACCTGGACCTTTTCCTTCGCTTCCTCCTCGGTCTGTCACTCCAGTCCAATCGACGACTCTTACGAGGTCTGTTGACACAGCGAGACGGCACTGACCAGAGCAACAAGGAGTTAGTTCAGTACATCAAGCAGAAACTAGAAGATAATCTTCCTGCAGAGAGATCCATCAATCTGTTCTACTGTCTGAATGAACTGAACGACCAAACTCTGGTGAACGAGATTCAGACCCACCTTAGCAAAGGAAGTCTCTCATCTGGTGACCTTTCACCTGCCCAGTGGTCTGCTTTAGCCTTTGTGTTGTTGACATCAGAGGAACAGCTGGAGGAGTTTGAGCTTCAGAAATTCAAGAAATCAGACGAGTGTCTCATTAGATTATCGGCAGTCATTAAAGCCTCCAAAACAGCCCTGTAAGTCTTTTAATATATTTTGTCATGTTTAGCTCTCATCTGAAAAATGCATTTATCTCTATAGTGATTCCCCATCATAGTCCCAAGTTACATCCCAAGTTATACCTGTAAAGCTGTGTGTGTGTGTGTGTGTGTGTGTGTGTGTGTGTGTGTGTGTGTGTGTGTGTGTGTGTGTGTGTGTGTGTGTGTGTGTGTGTGTGTGTGTGTGTGTGTGTGATCACAACTTAAGACAAAATATAAAATACCATGTAAAATATTCATATACCCAGACTGGGGGGAAAGAATGTAATTTGGTACAGATGTTATTTATATTGCCAAACAAGTAAGATGAAATTCTGAAAGGTTATAGTATAAAACATTTAGATTTTTATAAAACAGGCTACTTAAATAAAGTACATATACAGCGGGGGAAATAAGTATTGAACACGTCACCATTTTTCTCAGTAAATATATTTCCAAAGGTGCTACTGACATGAAATTTTCACCAGATGTTGATAACAACACAATGAATCAGTACATACAAAGAAACCAAAACAAATAAGCTCAGAAATTAAGTTATGTGTAATAATGTGAAATGACACAGGGAAAAAGTATTGAACACATGAAGAAAGGGAGGTGCAAAAAGGCATGGAAAGCCAAGACAACAGCTTAAAACTATTAGTAATTAAAAAGCAATCCAACCCCCTGTCCGTGCACATTAATAACAGCTGGTTCAGTCCCAACGGATGGCCTACAAAAAGGTCTCATTGCCAAGGTGTCACACAAGACACATCTCATGATGGGTAAAAGCAAAGAGCTGTCTCAAGACCTTCGCAACCTAATTGTTCCAACACATAATGATGGCATTGGTTATAGGTGCATTTCTAAGCTTCTGAATGTTCCAGTGAGCGCTGTTGGGGCCATAATACGGAAGTGGAAAGACAATCATTTCACCATAAATTTGCCTCAACCACTGCTCCTCGCAAGATTTCTGATAGAGGAGTTAAAAGAATAATCAGAAGAGTTGTCCAAGAGCTAACACCAAGGTGTATGGCGTTTTTAGGGTAATGTGCAGTGCCATTTCTCCTCCAAACATGGTGTGTATTATGGCATCCAAACAATTCAATTTTGCTCTCATGTGACCACACTAAATTCTCCCAGTATTTCCCTGGCTTTTCCAAATGTTGTGCAGCAAACTTTAAACGAGCTTCAACATGCTTTTTTTCTTCAGTAATGGAGTCTTGCGTGGTGAGCGTGCATACGGGCCATGGTGGTGGAGTGCATTACTTACTGTTTTCTTTGAGAACACAGTACCTGCTATCTGCAGGTCTTTTTGAAGCTCTCCACAAGTGATCCTTAGCTCTTGGACAACTCTTCTGATTATTCTTTTAACTCCTCTATCAGAAATCTTGCGAGGAGCAGTGGTTGAGGCAAATTTATGGTGAAATGATTGTCTTTCCACTTCCGTATTATGGCCCCAACAGCGCTCACTGGAACATTCAGAAGCTTAGAAATGCACCTATAACCAATGCCATCATTATGTGTTGGAACAATTAGGTTGCGAAGGTCTTGAGACAGCTCTTTGCTTTTACCCATCATGAGATGTGTCTTGTGTGACACCTTGGCAATGAGACCTTTTTGTAGGCCATCCGTTGGGACTGAACCAGCTGTTATTAATGTGCACGGACAGGGGGTTGGATTGCTTTTTAATTACTAATAGTTTTAAGCTGTTGTCTTGGCTTTCCATGCCTTTTTGCACCTCCCTTTCTTCATGTGTTCAATACTTTTTCCCTGTGTCATTTCACATTATTACACATAACTTAATTTCTGAGCTTATTTGTTTTGGTTTCTTTGTATGTACTGATTCATTGTGTTGTTATCAACATCTGGTGAAAATTTCATGTCAGTAGCACCTTTGGAAATATATTTACTGAGAAAAATGGTGACGTGTTCAATACTTATTTCCCCCGCTGTATATTACCACATCATATATTAGTTGTCCCTCTGTTTCTCCCAGTAATTAGATATTTTAAATGCTTATTTCTATGAGTAATTCTGTAGTTTAATGTAATAATGTAAAAAAAAAAAAATGTCAGCAATTGTCATGGATGCTTCTTTACTATCTTTAAATTAATGATATATCACCCATTGGCCACCCTGCTCTCAATATATTGGCATCAACCATCGGTTGACCTTAATCTTGAAATATTAAAAACAAATACAATTTCTTTGGTTCGTAGGTTTAAGTTATCTTAGCTTTACTTAAATCATTAAATATTTTATGTCAAAAAGACATGTACATGTGAATGGAGACATTTTTTATTATTATAGTGAAAGGCCTTTAACTTGCCATAGAAGTGTGAACTGTCTCATATAATGGTGTCGGTGCAGTCAAGTCAATAATATTGTTGAATATTAAGTGTCCCCAACTAAGCAAGACAGAGGAAACAGTGGCAAGAACCTAAACTACATCAGGTGACATAAATAGAGAAAAAATCCTATAGGTATAAAAGCTTTACACAAATATTTTTTTCAAACATGCTTCATTTTATCTAGGATATTTGTCACTGAATAAAAAACACTAATGCATAGGAAATTGTCGTTTTTGAAGATAAATGTTATTTGAAATGTATATGCTGTTTATGTAAAAAATAAATGGAAAATTTATTTAATATTTGAATATAGACATTTACATTTTACATTTACATTTACATTTATTCATTTTGCAGACGCTTTTATCCAAAGCGACTTACAAATGAGAACAATAGAAGCAGTTAAACTAACAGTAGGACAACAATACGTAAGTGCTATAACCCCTCTGTTTAATTTTAGTGCAGTTTTTTTTTTATAGAAGAGAAGAGAAAGTGTTAATTCTACTGAATCAAGTGCTGCCGAAAAAGATACGTCTTCAGCAGTTTCTTGAAAGTGGCTACTGACTCAGAAGCTCTGGTTGAGTTAGGCAGATCATTCCACCAACAGGGAACAGTCATGGTAAAGGTCCGAGAAAGAGATTTTGTGCCTCTTTGAGATGGTACCACAAGACGACATTCGCTAGCAGAGCGCAGGTTTCTGGATGGCACATAAGTCTGAAGTAATGAGTTTAGGTAAGAGGGAGCAGTGCCAGTGGTTGTTCTGTAGGCAAACGTCAGTGCCTTGAATTTAATGCGAGCGGCAACTGGCAACCAGTGCAATTGTGTGAGGAGAGGAGTGACGTGTGCTCTCTTCGGCTCATTAAAGACTACTCTGGCTGCAGCATTCTGGATCAATTGTAGAGGTTTGACAGAGCAAGCTGGAAGACCAGCCAGGAGAGCATTACAATAGTCCAGTCTGGATAAAACAAGTGCTTGGACAAGGAGTTGTGTAGTATGCTCTGTAAGGAAGGGCCTGATCCTCCTAATGTTGTACAAGGCAAATCTGCAGGACCGGGCAGTTCTAGCAATGTGGTCTGTGAATTTCAACTGATCATCAATTACAACCCCAAGGTTCCTAGCTGACCTTGATGGAGTTATGGATGACGAGCCTAGCTGAATGGAGAAGTTGTGATGAAGTGTTGGGTTGGCCGGGACCACAAGTAGCTCTGTCTTCGCAAGGTTTAGTTGAAGGTGGTGGTCCTTCATCCAGCCAGAAATGTCTGTCAGGCAGGCTGAGATACGAGCAGCTACCGTCGGATCGTCAGGCTGAAATGAGAGGTAGTGTCATCAGCGTAGCAATGATAGAAAAAGCCATGTTTCTGAATCACAGATCCTAGTGATGTCATGTAGATGGAGAAGAGGAGTGGTCCAAGCACTGAGTCCTGAGGCACCCCAGTAGCTAGATGTTGGGTCTTAGATGCCACACCTCTCCACGACACCCTAAAGGACCTACCTGAGAGGTAAGGCTCGAACCATTGGAGTTCAGTTCCCGAGATGCCCTTCATCTTTATGATTGACAGGAGGATCTGGTGGTTTACTGTGTCAAAAGCAGCAGACAGATCCAGCAGGATGAGGACTGAGGTTTTGGAAGCTGCTCTTGCCAGTCTCAGAGCTTCAATTACTGAGAGCAGGGCAGTCTCAGTTGAGTGTCCGCTTTTGAAACCAGACTGATTTTCATCCAAGAGGTTGTTCTGTGTAAGAAAGGAGGAGATCTGGTTGAAGACAACTCGTTCAAGTGTTTTCGCGACAAATGGAAGAAGAGATACCGGTCTGTAACTTGTTAGATGTGCTGGATTTAGATTGGGTTTCTTAAGCAGTGGGGTTACTCGAGCCTGCTTAAAAGCTGTGGGAAAGGTACCAGTGTGAAGAGAGGTGTTTATGATGTGCGTGAGTGTGGGTACAACTGAGGAAGAAATGGTTTGAAGTAGATTAGTGGGGATAGGATCAAGCGGACAGGTAGTAGGGCGATTGGAAAGGAGGAGTTTAGAGACTTCCGCCTCTGAAAGTAGAGAGAATGAGGGTAGAATGTGTGCGTTTGTTGGTAAAATGTGTGTCAGTTTGTGGATTGGTAAATTGGCCGCTGATGGTGGTTATTTTTTCTATGAAGAATATGGCAAAATCGTCAGCTGTTAGGGTTGATGAAGGAGGAGGAGGAGGAGGAGGGTTAAGAAGAGAGGAGAAGGTTTTGAAAAGCATGCGAGAGTCAGAACAATTGAAAATTTTGTTGTGATAGTAAACCATTTTAGCAGTAGAGATATTAGCAGAGAAGGAAGAGAGGAGGGATTGATAAAGACCCAGGTCTGTCGGATCTTTCGATTTGCGCCACTTCCTCTCTGCACCCCTGAGTTTAGTACGATGTTCGCAAAGAATATCAGTTAACCAGGGGGCAGAGGGTGTGGCGCGGGCTGGCCTGGAGGAAAGGGGACAGAAGTTGTCCAAGCAGGATGTTAAAGTGGAGAAAAGAGTATCAGTTGCACTGTTGGTATCAAGTGTTGAGAGCTGATCAGGTGGAGGAAGTGTGGATGAGACCAAAGAGGATAGGTAAGAGGGTGAAAGTGAGTGTAGGTTCCGTCGAAAGGTGACCTGTGGAGGAGTGTGTGTTGTGTTCTGAGGCAAGTTGAGGTTGAGAGTGAGGAGGAAGTGATCTGAGGTGTGCAGTGGAGTGACCAGTGTATTGTCCGTAGAGCAGTAGCGTGTGTAGATAAGGTCCAATTGGTTACCTGATTTGTGAGTAGCCACAGTAGATACTCGTTTGAGGTCGACTGATGCAAGCAGGGTGTGGAAATCGGCAGCCTGAGGTTTTTCTAGGTGGATGTTGAAGTCTCCAAGAATTACAAGAGGAGTACCATCTTCAGGAAAGGATGAGAGTAGCACATCAAGCTCCTCCAAGAAACTGCCAAGTTGACCTGGGGGACGATATACAACTACAAAATGGATTTTTATAGGAGTAGTGATGGTAATTGAATGTGATTCAAATGAGCTGTTGTCAAATAGAGGTGGTAAAGGATAAAATTTCCAGTCATTTGAGATGAGCAGACCAGTACCACCACCCCTTCCGGTCAGACGGGGGGTGTGTGAGAAAGTGAAGTTAGTGGAGAGGGCAGCAGGTGTGACAGTGTCCTCTGGTCTAATCCAGGTCTCAGTCAGGGCCATTAGACTGAGACCTGAATGACTTGAAAAAGATGTAATGAAATCAGCTTTGTTAACAGTGGACTGGCAGTTCCAGAGACCAATAGGAAAAGAGAATAAAGTATTAGAAGACACCGGAAGGGTACAGAGATTGTTAGGAGTGCACCGCCTCTGACGTGTGACGTTTGATTTACGTATGTTAGTAATAGTAGATATTTGAAAACACATAGTGAAAAGGAGCTTACAAACAGAAAGATCCAAAGAAAAGTTTGTAGAAGAGAAAGGAAACAACAATAAATAAACAAGAAGAATTTAATACTCAAGTGCCTTGTCGGTGTCCTTGCTCGGTGGAGTCGCACAGGTAGAGTCGCTGGTCTTTACACTCTTAGGTCTTCACACGATGAGGGCTTCACACGAGGGCAGACGCGACCGCTGCCGCGGTGCACGAACCAGTTATATACACGCCAAATACCCCGTTAATGAATACAGCAGGCCACGCCCAACTATTTGGCCAGCGAAACTCAGTCACCACACACAAACAAACACACGCGCGTTTTTACCAGGGTAAACACAGTAACGAAGAGCCGCGCTAAAATCAAATGAGAAAGTAAACACTCACAGACTGATGTTCTCTCCTGTTGTTCTAATGCTTCTTCTGAAAATGTATTGTATGTGTTCCATCTAATTCTGTGTTGTGACTTTATTGTAGGTTAAATGATTGTAACTTAACAGACAAAAGCTGTTCAGCTCTGGCTGCAGTTCTTGGATCAGATACCAATCTGAAAGAGCTAAACATGAACAATAATAATCTGCAGGATTCAGGAGTGAAGCTGATCTGCACTGGACTGAAGAATATAAAGTGTAAATTGGAGATACTGAGGTAAGTTGAGCCACAGGAGTCACGTGACTAGAGGTGCGATGACTGACAGGACGATGCCAAGGCAAGAGCGCAAGAGAACTTTTGTGAAAAATTCAAAGATCTTTTATTTATTTGTTACATCGTGGTTAATGTTGTTAAATAAATGTTGTTGTGTTTTTTCATCTAGTAATATTGAAGTGACATTAAGCATTCATTTCGTTCCAAGAAAAGGAAAGATCTAACATTAAATATCAGAATAAGAGCTACAGATCCTGAGGGTCATTGGCAAATATATTTTCTTGTAAAATAAGTGCTCCACATGGCTCTCCAATAAAGGCCGGGAGCTAGTTATTTTAGCCTATAAAGCTTTAAATAATGATATTTTTCTTACACGAACGCATCACTTCACTTCAGAAGACTTTTATTAACCCCCCGGAGCCGTGTGCAGCACTTTTATCATGGATGGATGCACTTTGATGGAAAAATATACAGCCATTCACTGCCATTATAAAGCTTGGAAGAGCCAGGGCATTTTTTAAATATAATTCTGATTGTATTCGTCTGAAAGTAGCATGTAATATACACCTAGGATGTCTTGAGGGTGAGTAAATTATGAGCTAATTTTCATTTTTGGGTGAACTAAACACCTGGCACTGCACTATGAGTATAATATTTAGTGGATAAAGTATTTTCTATTTATGTCAATTCTACTTCTTATAAGTTAACACTTAAATTGTGATGTTTTTGTTTATAGTAATTTATACTTTAGTGATGTAACCTAGTGTTGAATGGAGGGCGATATCTGGTAGAAATCACTTCTCTTAATATTTTATGTGACAGCTCCCTCAAAAGCACTAAAATACATAAATCCTGTGTATCTCTGATTCTGCTTCCAGCTTTGCAGCTAGTCTCGACTAAACACTTCCTCTAGTTTATGAGTGTTTTACACCACTGTGAGGGTATTTTGGTCCATTTGTCCCACTCATTACAAAGCTGCTTCAACTCGGTGACATTAGTAGACTTTCCAGCATGAGCGGTGTTTCACGTATTTCCACAGCATTTCAATGGAGTTGAGGTCTGGACTTTAATTAGCCCTTTCCCAAACTTTAATTTTCCGACCATTTTCAGGTTACTTGTTGTGGATCATTCAGATTGAAGACTGAATAATATATAAATAAACTGGAAGAACTGGAAGAGAGGGCAACTCTCTGAGAAAACAAAGGAAATTAACATTTGAACTCTCTTGCTAAATTACTATCCACATTCGAGACACGATCAAAGTAAAGTAACGAGTAAATAACTATAAATTTAATTTTTAGCAATTGTCATGGATGCTTCTTTACTATCTTTAAATTAATGATATATCACCCATTGGCCACCCTGCTCTCTTAATTTATTGGCATCAGCCATCGGTTGACCTTAATCTTGAAATATTAAAAACAAATACAACTTCTTAGGTTCTCAGGTTTAATTAATATTAGCTTTACTTAAATCATTAAATATTTTATATCAAAAAGACATGTACATGTGCATGGAGGCAGTTATAGAATTATAGTGAAAGGCCTTTAACTTGCTATAAAGTGTGAACTGTCTCATATAATGGTGTCGGTGCAGTCAAGTCAATAATGTTGTTGAATAATAAGTGTCCACTAAGCAAGACAGAGGCAACAATGGCAAGAACCTAAACTCCATCAGGTCACATAAATAGAGAAAAAATCCTATAGCTATAGAAGCTTTACACAAATTGTTTTTCAAACATGGTTTATTTTATCAAGGATATTTGTCACTGAATAAAAAACACTAATGTACAGGAAATAGTAGATTTTGAAGATACATTTTATTTTAACTCAGCCTCTTTGCTGTATATGCTGTTTATGTAAAAAATAAATGGAAAATGTATTTAATATTTGTATATAGAAAATGTATTGTATGTATTCCGTCTAATTCTGTGTTGTGACTTTATTGTAGGTTAAATGATTGTAACTTAACAGACAAAAGCTGTTCAGATCTGGCTGCAGTTCTTGGATCAGATACCAATCTGAAAGAGCTGAACATGAACAATAATAATCTGCAGGATTCAGGAGTGAAGCTGATCTGCACTGGACTGAAGAATATAAAGTGTAAATTGGAGATACTGAGGTAAGTGTAAATTGGAGATACTGAGGTAAGTTGAGCCACAGGAGTCATGTGACTAGAGTGAGTTGCGATGACTGACAGGACGATGCCGGAGGCAAAAAGCGCACTTGAGTTGATCACCTCCCAATTTACACATCATTCCCTTCACCCATCCCTACCTGAATTCACCCAAAAATCTATATGGTTTAATATGAACTATTTTCATACAGTATTATACATGTTTGGTATAATTTGAAATGTCTCAGTGCAACTGGTACAAAGGTCTCATTCCCACAGAAGTAAACCAAAAAGGTAATAAGGTGTGGAGAGTTTAGAGATATCTTGTTAACTGCTGTGTGTGTGCACCCATGTAAATCAACGTCTGTCCCCAGTAAGTCTGGGACGGTGATTAATGCAAATTCCCACTGTGAACTCGTTTACATTTTGAAAAGAGGTTTCTGCCTTGGTCTGAGTATTTAGGGAGATGCTGAAGAAGGCTTGTGGTGATTTGTAACTCAAATTAGCCTGTGATGCAGAGTGTATGCAGGCATCTGCATCATGTATTTTATAATGTCAGATTCGCAGGGATTGATTATCTTTGAACTGGTCATGTAATTGGCATGATACATTTACCTGACATAATTAATTGGTACATTTGATTTTATTCCGACTGACTCTGAAATTGTTTTCCCAAGTAGATGAAACGTATTTGTATGTTACTGCAAGTTTTGCGTCAGATTAGTGATGACTAATATTTTATCGCTAATTCAAGTGTTAATGTTTTGCAAAGACAAGAAGTGAATTTCCTTTAAGGGCAGCAAAAATGCTGCTTGACCAACCTAAATCTGGGTGTGTTTTACCTCTGTTTTAATTTAATGTTACTTTACACAAGTGTACGTGGGAAACCACGGCATGGCCAATCCAAAGCTATTATAAGACATGTAAAGTTGGTTGACCTTTTATCTGTAGTAGTGGCCATACCTCTACTGAAGTAAACGTTACTTTAATTTCAAGTGTACGCAATCACAGGGGCTATACCAAAGTATCTTTGATTGTGTAAATGTGAATGTGACCGAAATCAGGTATATAGCAATTACCTCTGTTTAGTGACCGAAGCTGGCGAGATTGTGATCGTGAGACCCACGTTAAACAAGGCGTGAGGACCTCTGAGCGACATAGCTTCCTAATATGAATGGGTAAAATATAAGTAAAGAGTTAAATAGAACAATCAAATGTATTGCTAAACTATTATATAATTGACCAATAACCAATTGGCAATCTAACTTAAATTTGAGGTTGTGATAAAATGGAGTCAGATATAAAGTCAGATAAAAGCTTAAATGGACTTAAATTACTTTGCCACATGGAAAGACAGTAACACGCAGAGACCTTCACCCGTTCTGGAGGAAACCCCCATTTGGACCAATAAACAGGCTTACACAGTTTTAGATAATTGTAATCTCGAAAGTGATGTTGATGTCTAACATATTAAAGATTTCTGTGCCTTTTGTTTGCCTCCATATTCAGTTGTCAGTTTTTGCAAATAACTTTCAATGCATTTGTACAAAGAGCAAAATAAAATTCAAGTTTAAGGATTTATATTGTTTGGGGTTTAACTGATTAATCAGTTGAATGCTTTCATTCCTGTTCTAGACTCTCTAACTGCAGCGTAACAGAAGAAGGTTATAAAGCTCTGGCTTCAGCTCTGAGATCAAACCCTTCACACCTGATAGAGCTGGATCTCACAGGGAATGATCCTGGAGAATCAGGAGTGAAGCAGCTCAATGATTTACTACAGGATCCAGACTGTCAACTGAAGACACTGAGGTGAGACAGGATCAAATATTTAACTAAATTAGTTAATTAGGCTAAATATTCATAACTAATATATTATTTTAGCAATACAATTAGCTTGACAATTTGTTGCATCAAAAATGATCAAGATCAGATCAGATGCTGGAGGTTCTGTCATGATGGTGATAAACGTCAACACAGTTTAGTTGTGATACGAGCTACAGGTCAAATAGACATTATGGGTCAGTATACAGTTGGTCCTCAACCAGAATAATACTTTTGCCGCCGCTGTTAAATTGGGGGGTGTATTTGCTGCCTTTTACCGCTAAGAAGCGCTACTATCACAGACTTTGAAAAGTGTCCGTTTTTACTCTCTATTGTGTAATCTGCTGCGGCTCGTTGAGAACTGGTAGCAGATAAATTCAAGTGAAACATTTTAGTTAAACGACTTCTTAATCACAATACTGAAATTAAAGTACAAATTTAGAACCAAAACAAATGTAGGCTTCTATTATTGCATCAAATTTAAGCAAAGTAAAATTTCTGAGGTATTTCTGGGCGGCAGTAGCTCAGTGGTTCATGTAGGTTGTCTGCGAACCTAAAGGTTGGTGGTTCAATCCCCGGTTCCACCTGACCAAGTGTCGAGGTGTCCATGAGCAAGACACCTAACCCCGGCTGCTCCCGACGAGCTGGATGGTGCCTTGTATGGCAGACACCGCCGTCGGTGTATGAATGAGTGTGTGAATGGGTGAATGTGAGGCAAATGTAAAGCGCTTTGGTGGCCATTGGGTCTGTGAAAGCGCTATATAAATGCAGTCCATTTACCATTTACCAAAGTAGGTTAAACTTTAGGCTAATATTGTGTGCCCAGTTTTTCTATAGGCTAATCTCAGGTTATGCGTCAATATAATAGGTAGGCTATTATACATTGTTTCAGTTAATAATCTACTAACAAATTAAAATAACGGTGAAATAAATTAGGCATAAACAAAATGATCGTTTAATAATTTAAACATTGTCAGGACTTGCTAACCGATGTTAGTCGGCATCAGTTCTGTTTTAGCATTCTTTATTATTTTAAGAATTAACCCTCTGGGGACTTAGCCCTTTTTGGTCCGTTTTCTTTATTTTTACATTTGGGCTTATAAACCATATGTAATGGAGATGGAACACCATGTGTTTGGTATCTATGGATTCAGAAGACCCTAAGCTAGTATGTAATGTGTTTATAAAGGAAGTATGAGTGAAACATGTACAATAAATGTACAATAAACTAGAGAATTTCAAAACGAAAATTTTATTTTTGTCATTTATTACTGAAAATCACACCTCACACAACAATAGTGAACAGTTTTTGAACAAAAAATATATTGTTCAAACCCTTTGCTTGACAGACATTTGTAATTGTTCAATCAAAAGTAAAATATTTCATCATCTGTGAAAAAGCTGTCAGCTTCGGATTTCTCCTCGTCACTTTTTCCAGTAATTGTTCCAGAGCGTGTTCTGAGGTAAATCTTTTACTGCTTGCCATCATAAAAGTGCTAAAACAGTAAGATAATAATGCTATAATTGCTATATATATATATATATATATATATATATTATAATCGTTCTGTCTCTCTCTCATATAAATCTCTCTGCGCGCTGTAATACTCCGCTCCGTTCGCTCTCTGTGTCCTTCTCCACTCGACGCTGTTTGCGTGAAATTGCGTCATATCACTTACTATAATCCCACCCCTTGCAAGGCTACAGAGTCCTCTGATTAGCTAGAATACGCCATGGTAACCTTCCTCTGATTGGTAAGAAAAATATTCCTCCCAGCGGCAATTTTTCCATTGGTCTCTGCGCGTGGAATATTCCTAACAACATCGATTTCATTGGCCTTATACACAGTGGTATTACGCAACAAGGAAGTGTGTATCCCATATACCATTGTTTTCAGCGGAATCTGAGGAAGACGGCACCTCTCTATCATTAATAGTTTTTAAGATAATTACACATTTGTAAAAGTATGCCCTTTTGGGCGGTATCGGCCAATCCGTCCCCAGAGGGTTAAATAGGCTTGTTTTATAAATGAAAACATTTCAACATAAAACATTGTAATAATTTTTTTTAAATCAATAAGGCTTTGCATGAGCATAAGATGTTAAGTGTTCAGACGATAGCTGTGTGGTCAATGCTTCAACATGTCCCTCGCGGGGCTTCAAGCGCTCTGAGTTCGAAACTCAGCTCTATAAACTGATTTCATTATTTTGTCTCTAGTTTAATATTTGTCGAAAATAAAAACTTTTGAAATGTGCATTTATTGATTCAAAACACTTTTCGGAGCTTTGTTATTCATTGTCTGTCATTTTTATTAATAGGCGTTTAGATGATAACATTGAAGCCTACATGCTGTTGACCGATGTTGGACGACAGCGTTAAAGTCCCTGTAAAGGCAATTCTAAAAAAAATTCTAAACACATTATCAATTTTAGAAATGTATTGCTAAAACATATTACAAAGACCGTGAACTGTGAAGTACTGAATTGTGGAGTTAGACCGTTAAACAGTTTTTCACCATTGCTGTGTTCCTAAATCTCGGGCTCGATGACGCACTGGAGCCCCTGAGCTCCTGGACACGCCCCTACTTGATGACGCACTGGAGCCCCTGAGGCTGGCCCCTCCCCTAACAATAGAGAACATTCACATCAGTTCGCCGCTGAATCGCGAGTTACTGTCAGTACTATTAGTTACTACAGCCTACAGTTTGCTAGCCAGCTATGCCTTCGTCACGGAAATACGTACTACCTGGATGCGATCACGTACAAAACAGATCGGTGTCCTTATTTAATTTTCCGAAAAACGATCACATCAAGAAGGCGTGGATTCATTTTGTGAAGAGCCACCTTGATGGAGAGCTGAGGATCACCCCCAAAACCCGCTTCTGTAGTGAACATTTTACACAGGATAGATTTATAAACTTTCGTCTGAGATTCTGGGATTCACTGATAATCCGTGAATGGGTAAATGGGGCCAAACCGACTATCTCCGGCATCGGCCTTCATCCTCCCGTCCCGAAAGCAATATCACCTTATATCATGTCGGAAGCTTTCCCGCTAGTGGGCGTGGTTTCAGCGCAGCCAGCGGACACGCCCCCACAGCGGACACGCCCCCAGCATTTAAGAGCAGAGAATACTGCTCAGTTTTTCAAGATTTTGATAGCTTATTTTATTTACTTGGCGGCTTTTTTTATCATTCAAATTTGGCTGGGTGGCTAATAACACATTTTTCTGTGGTGTGACAATCTCAGAACACATACTTAATTTTGACTTTACAGGGACTTTAATGTTTTAACCTTCTTGATGCTTAAAAAGGGAACAGTTATTAACATCAATTGTTTTGTTTATTTATTAATGGAACATTACATCATCAATTTGCTAGATTCCAGCAGAGCCTCTGTTTCGCTGCACAGACGACAAAACCCGAAGGTGCTGTTGAAGATTGTCAGCCGATCGCAGCAGAAAATGAAGATTATGAAGCTCGTCTTTAATCAGCTAAATTATTGTTTTGTGAATCATTCACGAAATTGAGATGGCTGACAGTGATACCCCTAGCAACGAAATACATTTTTCAAAACAGATCCATAGGCCTACATTGAATAGCTCTTAACATTTTGTTGACTTGGCTACAAAAATTATACACTAACTAAATAGTAATGCTTTCAATATAAAAAAACAATTAAATTATAACCCTATTATACATTTCAAGGTTTAAATAAAGAGTCAGGACAGTTTGTTTATTTATTTAAAACAGGGTTGGATCGAGTGTTTTTTCCCTTTGCAAAGAAAAATGAGAAATATAGAATCTAATTCTTCCGACATTTTAAATTTGTATTGCCAAAGAAATTTCAGCTTTGCTGTGTAGGCTACAATTAAATCAGTACAAAATGAAAATAGTAGAAAGCAACATAAATTAAGAACAGGCGTTTTTCTTTGCCTCTCTCTCGCAGACGCGCTGGATCTCAAGTTTCTTTTGTCTCCCGCACTGCACGCGCTGGGTCTCGATATTAAATGTTTTTCAGGATAGAAACGCATCATATAGCTAATAAAACTGTATGTCGCTGCGTGTCACCAATGACAAAAATAAATAAATTATTATTTATCATTTGTTGCTTAAAGGCAACAATTTGTTGCTTAAAAGCCCCCCCTGGTGGCTGAAACCCGTTTAATTTTTTTTTTTTGCATTGTTAAAAAATAGGCCTATATATATTATAAATATTTTAAATAACACAAAACAACTAAATGGTGGTAGGTAATAGGCTACACATCTGATTTTATATACTGCTTTAGTAAAAAAAAAAACTGCAATGGAAACAGGTTTTGCGCATTTACAGTCAGCTGACTTAGAGAAGACGCGGGGATAATAATAATAATTATCATCATTATTATAACATTTATTAGGCTACATATGTAGAAGACGCTTATCAAAAAAAAGGAACAAAGCAATTCGTCACATATCATTCATAATACAGGGCTAAGATGATCACAAATAGGCTAAAAAAAGATTTTGACGCATATCCAAGTGTGTGTGTGGAATGTGGAGCGCGCACTGGATGGCACGGAGGCGCGGGGCGTGGGTGCGAACACTTGCATTTTCCCATCAACAGTGGAAACAACTTAAAATAGGCTAGCCTACTCTATCATTTCTGGTCATACAGAAAATAATAATACATTATTCGCAACTACTTTTATTTGTGTACACTCACAATAACAAGAAAACGTTGTGCTTTTGTAAAATAAAATAAAACAATCAGGCGCGCTTCATGGTCTCCGTGAACTGAAGCGCTATAACTGAAACAAAATAGCCTAAGCTAAAGCTTGAAATGTCCACTTTAAAACGAACAAATTCGAATCGAAAGCTAATACCTTCTGATTAGGCTATGTAATCCGTATGAAAGGTGCATTTCTCTCTAAAGGTGCATCCGCTTTACAGCGGAGATGGAGATGTTTTAGCCGACACTGATTTTTTATTAATAAACAATTAAAATGCCT